GCCTGGAGTTTGCCAACACTGACCTGAGGAAGCCACAGTCCCTCAGCAAGAATGTCCTGTGGACAGATGAGACTAAGATGGACATTTTTGGTCGAGCATATCGTTCTAGTGTTCTCAGAAAGTGAAATGAGGCCTTCAGAGAAGAAAACACGGTCCCTACAGTCAAGACATGGCGGGGGGTCACTGGTGTTTTGGGGCCACTTTGCTGCTTCAGTCTCTGGATGTCCTGACTGTGTGTGGCATTATGACATCTGAAGACTACCAATGAACTCTGGGGTGCAATGTAGGGTCCAGTGTCAGAAAGCTGGGTATCTGTCAGAGGTCATGGGTCGCACAGCAGGACAATGACCCAAAGCAGACTTCACAAAGCACCAGAAATGGTTTCACACAGTGAGCTGGAGAGTTCTGACTTGGCCAGCAACGAGTCCAGGTCTAAACCCCATAGAGCTCCTGCGGAGGGATCTCAGAGCAGCAGTTGGGAGACGGAACCCTTCAAATCTGAGACCTGGAGCAGCTGGAAGAAGAAGAGTGGTCCAAAACTCCAGTAGAGAGGTGGAAGAAACTCACTGATGGTGACAGGAAGTTCGTTTGTCCAAAGGGTGGGCTGCCAAATATTAAAATGAGGGTGTCAGTAATTCTATCCAGTCCATATTTGGAGTTCTGTGTGGACTGGACCAGATTTGGCTTTTTTCTCTGCTTTTTGCGTTGTTCCAGTGCAAACAAAAAAATAAGCATGAGAATACCAGAGAATTTGTCATTGCAACAATTTTCTGGGAGAAGTGGTGCGTTACCCGACAGAAATGCAGGGATGCCAATATTTTTGGCCATGACTATAATTTTATTTAGCACTCTTACATCTTCTACAAAGTGTGACCTGATCTAGCTAGTCGTCATGGCTGCGTCAGTCAGAACAGTTTGCAAGTGCTCAGGTTTAAACGCAACGAGGCTATAAAGGCGGGCTAGTGAACAGATGAGTCTCCATGTTCAGCATGATGATGGTTAATATCCCAGATGGCCTTTGTAGTTTCACTTAGCCAGTTGTTAGCAACTGCCTTTTTAAAGAGATGTAAAAGCACAATGTAGCGCCCAAATCGCTAGCTCCACTAGTGCACTCAGCGCTGAAACTGTGAAATTCTGAACGACAGTTCAGATGATGCTCTGACCATAAATTTATGAAAACAGCCATAACAATCAGCGAATGGTTAATTTTAAACATTAACCCATGTTTGTTTAATTTAGTTAACTCTGTGTGCGCACCAGGCTGCTAGCAACATACTGGGGGCAACAAGAGATTAACTACGAGCTAGGCATTTGAAAACTGTGCATCTCTTTGCCTGTATGTGATGTTTTGCTAGATTGCTCATGTTTCTACCGTTACATACCAACACTTTGAACATTTAGTTTTCCCTTCCACAAATTCATAGACCAATGTTTTAATCAGAAACAGAGTTGGTGAGATAAAATGAGCTATTGTTTGGTATAAAGTTACCATGTTGAATATTTAACAATACAAAAATATTGAACTCAAGGTCCACTTGGCTTCTTTTTTCAGGAGTGTCAGATTGTCTGATTTGAATTTGGTGTGTGTGTTTATAATGCACTTCCCTGTGTATCTGTATGTACTCACCTCATCCTGTGACCTCTTGGCTCTCTCTTCATCTTTCCTGGATTTCTTCAGAGCATCAGGACCGACCACTGACAGGACACTTCGAAGTCTGAACACACACACACAAAAACTTTATTAAAGCTGTGGGACATTTTCATACACACACATATATATACTGAAATTCTAATTCCCCACTTGCTCCCCTAACCCTTAAAAAATAAATAAATAAAAAAATTAATTTCCCCACTCGCCCCCCACTTGGGAGCGGTCTTGTATTCCTTCCTTCAAGCTCAGGTCCTCTACCAGAGGCCTGGGAGCTTGAGGGTCCTGTGCAGTATCTTAGCTGTTCCTAGGACTGCACTCTTCTGGGCAGAGATCTCAGATGTTGTTCCTGGGATCTGTTGGAGCCACTCTCCCAGTTTGGGGGTCACAGCCCCCACTGTTCCTATTACCACAGGGACCACTTGTGCCTTCACCTTCCACATCTTTTCTAGCTCTTCTTTCAGCCCTTGGTATTTCTCAAGCTTCTCGTGTTCCTTCCTTCCTTCCTTCCTTCCTGATGTTGCTATCGCTTGGGATTGCTACATCTATCACTACGGCCTTCTTCTTCTGTTTGTCCACCACTACTATGTCCGGTTGGTTGGCCATTACCAGTTTGTCAGTTTGTATCTTGAAGTCCCACAGGATCT